GCTCACTGGCTGAGCGCGGTGCGGGCACGACACCAACGGTTGCAATCCCGATGCCGGTCGCAGTACGGGCGTGACACCGAGGGTTGCAATCCCGTTACCGGTCACGGAAAAAAAAAAAAGACAAAAAAAAAAAAAAAAAAGAAGGGAACAGGTCAGAGTTGTGGGAAGAGAACCCAGAATTCCTAGTGCCACAGCAGCCAGTGAGGAGAGAATGGTCAGTGATTCCAAATGAAACTGCTGATGGGTTATCAAGCAGAAAGAGAGTACATACGTGCGGCCTGATGTTCTTCGCAACCCTCAACAAACAAAGGCAGGTAGGGACATGTGAAGGGCGATAGTGCTGCAGGTGGGAGGGTATGGGAATGCTGCCTGTGATGGGGTGGGGAAAGGAAGCAGGGTCTGGTATGAGGAGAAAGAATTCTGACTCACCTGATGCCCTGCTCTCTGCACTTCCTGAACCAAGCCAGCTGGGGACAAGGGCAGAGATCAAGGTGAGGCTGAATTACTGGAGGAGAGGTGGTGAGGATTCCCATAAACCAGCTAGAAGTGCCTGGAAGGAGGCTGAAAGCCTGCTGGGAGCCAAGCGAGAAGCAAAGGGACTCTATTATATGGTAGAGAAGTAAGGAGCTTAGGAAATTATTTTTTCATTAGCCAGATTTAATGTCAGCAGAATAGATGAGCAAACATTCTAGGAACGCACCCCTTCTACAGAAGCCCTTAACCCTCCCACCCTGGACCATTTATTTACCAGGACCTGTGAGAGAGCGCACAACCCTCTCCATTACGATCCAGCTTTGTAAGATGGTTAAGGTTGGTGCTGGGTCTTGCTGCTTTTGTCATGTAGATAGATCCTCTAGACACCCTACAGAATCCATGAAAAACCCTGGACAGAGACCTGCAGTGGGAAAGAATGGGGCTCAGCAGGTTAGTGCACCCAACATACAGGTCTTTTAAAGGGTCCCTTCTGGTGGAGGGCAAAATTCATTCATGATGCAATTATGTGATACCTCCTGCATATGGTGCTCTGGGGAAGTGAGCTGGGACTGGAGAGGAGGATGCCCACTAAGACTGGCTGCAGTAGTGCAGAAGTTCTGAGGCCAGGGCTGGACGCCAGTGAGACACAACTTAAAGGAAGGGTGTGTGGGATTTGTGGACATTAGGTGTATGGACATTTTGGGAGAGAAGCATACCAGCCAGTGACTGTGTGAAAAAATATAAAGGGGGAGGTAAGTGAGGCATGCCCTGAGACAGAGATGGACTGGCTGCTTGGAGTGGAACTTCTGCATTGGGAGATGAGGTGGGATTGGGGACTGGTGGATTTCAAAGGCAAGGGTAAAGATTTCTGCGTGAAACGCGGGCACCAGGAGTCACTGTGGTTCTATTTAGGGGGAGATACGTGTGTAACGTGGCATGAATGGGTAGGAGAGCTAAAAGGCTGCAGTCTGGGAGTCCTTGCAAAATGTATTTGAAAAAGGAAAGCAGTTTCCATTATCCAGGGGTCTTAAAAGCATATCATCTTCCCCTCATATCTCCAATCGTTTACTGCAGTGAACTTGTAAAATTCTTACTGTAGCAAGTAAACAACTTTAAGGAGATTTTGTCAAATGATGACTAAAAATAACACATCGTATTGGTTAAGTACAGGAAGGATTAAATACTCAGTTTTTTCTAAGCTGCAACTCTTTTATCAGTATTGGTTTATTTTAATACAACTTGACAATATAGCATGATTATTTGAGGTGAGCCTAAAACTGACTTAGAACTCAGACATTTGTTTTGTCACATAAGTCTCTGTTCATACCTGTCTTAGTGCACTCAAGTTGTAATGTAAACCTGCCTGATGTCTGTTTTTATCTCACTGGACTCTGAGTTCCTCCAAAGCCTTGCTTGTGTCTTATTCATTGTGTATTCTCAACCCCCTGCATATTGTTTTTTAAATAACAGTTGTTGAATGGGTGGGTGGAGAGTGATTTATATTAAGGCACTTTTTCTCTGCTCCTTGTTACTCTGAGTTATGCCTTAATTCAAGTTTATAAATTATTAATAACTGGATATTAAGAGATTTGCATGGGTTGTTTGGAAGGGAAACTATTGTTATAGCTGTGCTTCAGGCTGTTTACAGCGCTAATGCGGTAGAGGTATTTTAGTGTATATGAGCACTGATGGTTTGTGCAGTAAAACTGGCAGCCCCTTGATATTAGCAGGTGTGGTCGAGTGGTAGGCACTGCAGTCGAGGGGACACTGGCACTAGTATAGAAATGGGCTGGCCTAGGTCCCAGCCCTGGCACACACAGCTTGGGGGGTCCTTGGGCATGGAATACACCTCCCTGGCCTTTTGTCTGGGTGATGCCTCCTTATCCTTCAGTTGCCATGTAGCCTGTAATGTCCTCAACATCACCTGTCCCAACTGTCCCCTGAACTAGCTCTGGTTCCCTAGTCTGTGTTCCATGGAACCCTGTGATTTTCTTGTGTAGCAAGTAATTTTTGGAATGATTACTTTACTAAAGATTCTCCAAATAGGTTATATCTTTCTTGAGGGCAAGGACATGTCTATTGGTTTTACCACTGTCCCCAGCACCCAACACAGTACCTGGTATGAACTGTGTCTAGATAAATGCTTGTGGAACCAATGAACTGTGGTAGAACTTGGAAATGATATTCGTTTTCCACATCTGTTTAAAACCTGTGTGTTAGAGGTTATCACTAAGGTTCTTTCTCTTCAAAGATCTGTGGATTAACTCTTCACAATTTTTAATTTTTTAATAAAGTTACTCACACCCATGATTACAGATTCAAACAATACAAAAATAATTCAGCAGAGGTAACAAATATTAAAAGTTGCTTATCTTAACAGATAGAATGAAAATTGAACAAGCTACAATAAGCTGGAGTTGAATGGCTTAATAATTGGATGAGGTTATTTCTCTCATTTCCAGCCCTCTTGAGGCAGGAACTGTGTTTCAATTTCAAAATGCTTAGTGCCTTAGTGAGGGGGTAAAACTTTCATGGAGGACTCTGCTAAAAACAGGTGGGACCAAGGCCTTTAGCTAAATTCACATTACAACCAGCTTGATGCTTATTTATAGCTATTCTATGTAGAGATTTTACTGGTTTTGGTGGGCCTTGAAATCTTCTTTCTAGGATTTGTGGGTCACTGCCAGGTATTGTTTAATAAAGTAGTAAGGTAGGTTGGACAATCCAAAGCTAACATATTTTACAAATGTTTTATGAATGTTTTAATTCATTTGGATGTTTAAAAAATAGTTAATGTTTACCTAAAGATTTTCAGCTTAAAAAGCTTATAGGTAGTGTTTGGTTTCTCTGGTGGTTTTATATGGTTGAAGAGAATCCTTGAAGGAATGGAATGAAGCACAGCAGAACTTCTTAAGTTTAAATGGAAATTTGTACATACACTTCTAATTGTAGAAAGATAGATTTATATAAATTTGGGTACTTTAATCCCCATAAACTTAAAAATATTGTCAAGGAAAAAAATGTACATTCATATATTTTTCCTTTAATTTGAAGGGAGAAAAATCTACCTTGGTACATCTTCCAGTTCTTTAACCCAAAGAGAATGTGTGAAAGGCTGTTTCACACTGCTGTGACTGTGTATGTGTTGTGGGGTGGGGGGGTGGGGGGTCAGACTGATGTCTAAGGGTGCTCAGGAATAGTTTGTATGATTATGTTTGAAAAGTCAGTATACTAAAGCGTTGGGTTTCTGTCTGTGAATTATAGTAATTGAATTCTAAGCATCAGTGTGTTCTATATCAACTGAGATCTGTGGAGAAGGTGATTCTGTTAGTGGGCTATAAGGTATAGTGAGTTTCATACAATCACCTTGAGAGATAGTATGTTGGGGGTGGGGAAAGGTAAGGAAGGAGCAGGGGTGGCTCACGCAGCCTTGTGACTCAGCTCTGAAGTGGCTCAGGGCCAGGCATGAGAGACAGAGTGAACCCCACACTATAGGCTCTCTGGGTATTGCTGGCAGGACTGCAGCTGTTGACTAGCAGCCGGTTGCTTAAGAAGGCAACTGGTGCCAGATGGAATCCCTGTACTCTACAACCTAACAGACTCAAATGTTAAGGACATTTAAATGAGCCTGGGTTGGAATTTGCAAAGATAATTATCTATTTAATATTAATACTCAATATCATGCAAGTGTCCACAAGCACATCCCACTGCTTAGGTGACTGGATTGCAGGGGCTTATTCTGCCACCCCCAGGCATCCTTAGGAAGGGTGTTTCTTGAATTCTTCAGTTACCATTCATCACCTCTAGCCCTTAGAGGAATAGTGTAGATGAAACAGATAATGCAGTAACATTCCCTCTGCAACCCTGTCTCCCAACTTCTCTTCCTTACATGCACTGAAGGGACAATTTGCATCCACCCAAGTCTATTTCCTGGAGTTATGGAGTTCCTTCTATCTTGTATAATAGAAATAATGTTCTAGTAATTTAATGAGAATCTGCAATGTGCCAGACAATTTACACACATTTTCTCAAATACTTAAAATACTGTAAAATAGATTTCTATGTCTGGAAAACTAAGGCTCAAGGTCACAAAGCTAGTAATCAGCAGAGCTGGGATTTGAACAAAATTCTGTCAAGTTTCAAAGTCCATGTTCTTTCTAAACATAATATTAACAATAATCATAATATTCGCTAAGCAGTTATTATGTACCAGGCAGTAATTTTTATAATAAACTTACAAGGTAGTTGTTATCTACTGAAGAAGAATTAAGGATCAGAAGATCAGAAAATTTAAGTAACTTGCCCAGGATTATTTAGTAAACAGCAGACCCCAAATTTGAACCCATTTGACCTAATTACAAAGGCTTTTTATCCCTTGGGCAACAGCACCTACTGGATTTTTGCAGGCGAGGTACACTAGGTAAAAACAACATAAGGAGTTAAGGGCAGTCTGGCTCAGAGGAGCTGAAGGACGGTGCATATTGTAGGTTAAATAGAATCAGACTTACTATTTCATTTCTTTCTAGGCGTCAGCTTCCTCTGGTGCAACCAGCAAGTCTTCCAGGATGAATCCCACAGAAACCAAGGTATAGAGAACCTTCTAGAATTAGCGCTGGGGCTGCTATTTAAAGTCGATTATATTGTAAGGGAAAACAAATGTAGCCTGATTGTTGACAGATTATGTTTCCTATGAAGCTTGAGTTCTGAAAGTAAACATATTCTTCCTAATTTATGGGAGTCTTTGAAAATTCAGCTTTCCTTCCAATGTTTACCTCAAACATCATCTCTTCACTTTTACATTGTTTTAAAATATCTAGAAAAAAGGAATCACCTAGAATTTTTTTGGTCCTAGCCTTGACTTTTTTTAATTGAAGATAATATCTCTACATGCATTACTCTGGATCTAAATGAGAATATAAATTCTTGATTTCTTGTTAAAATGATTTTATTATTCTGGCCTTTTAAAAATAAATATAAAAATGAGAAAAGATTATATACTAAGTAAACATAGAAATAAGTGAAACAAATACTGATTATTTCATATGCTTTCTGACGTTTCTTTCTGAAATTTGAGTCATGCTTTGCCATCTATTGACAAACATTTGTTGAGCTCTACTTTGAATTTATTCTTATAATTATTTCTTACAATTTCAGAAGAAAAAATAAAAGAATGTCTGCTAGTGGGATTGTCACATAGGAGAAGTCTGGCTTTGAAGAGTTGACTGAAGCTGCCTTAAACCTTCCCCTTTTAGTTACTATGTCTCAAATTCTGTTTCTTGAGAATATTTCAGGGTGGTGGATTAAAGAGAGAGCATTTTCAAAATACTCTCAACTAATTCTTATGAGCCAGTATTGTTTAGTGCCTTTAAGAGCTACCCCAGCCTCATTATTATTAAATTGCCCGTATTTAAAATCACCAACATTCTCTTGTTTTCTGTCTTTCATATTAATTTGCTATCCTAGTAGTTTCCTATCCCGGGTGATGTGGCACCATAATTTAGTAATACCAAGGGATCCTATGGCCTCATCTTGAACTGTTTGAAATAACATTGCAAATATCTGGAAACATACTATTCAAATGTAAGCCCTTCTAAGTTTCATTTAGCATTCATTTTAATTTTTATTGTAAATCTAAAATTATATTTTTATTTGGTATTTTACATTTAAATCGATATATTAATTGTTTTTAAATATACATTATATGATTCCTAATTAGTCTATTAGCAGTCGCTACTTATTTATATCAAGCTTAATCTTAAATTAAAAAATCTTATTTCAATCTTAAAGTAATCCTAAAAGACTATGGTAGAAGCATCTACGAAAAAACGATTCTCTTTGAACTTAGAGTTCATGAAAACTAGAGAAAGGAGAGCCATAAATATAGGATTTCCTTTTTATTTTCTTGGTTCTCTTTTAACCTGTTGCCTGATTCTAATCCCCGATGTCCCTCAGCTCGAGAACCAGTGCTCATTTCCAGTGTGCCATTTTTTCTAGAGCAAGTGTCAGCAAACTCTTCAGCCATCACTAAGCATTAATCATGAGAATTTCTGGCAGTCTTACAAAACTAGGGGAAGGGAAAAACGTAGGGGAGAGATGAGAGGCAGAGACAAAAATAAGATGCACGTGATCAGGTGTCACCAGTGGCCGACTTGGGACCACTTTTGGTCTCAGTTCTCTTCCCTTGGTGGATTTCAGTCACACTGTTCTCATTAATTAATCATCTTATCTCCATGTGCTTCTGATGCCTGGCTCATAAAATTTGGAGATGTTTGTGAGCTTGATGAGCATGTCTCCAGATATTTTGAGCTTGAGGGAAAAGATACTAATCCAAGATAATACTTATACCAAATCCTTGTCATATTCTTCACCTTTAAAATAAGTCAGGTTAGGTCCAGAGGGGAATGATATGTCTAGATCGATGTTCTAAATCTCTTGCTACTTCCACAGAAGAGTTGTTAGTCACACTGCTGGGTTTAAGATGGAAGGTAAGTCATTTCTAATCAGGGTGAAATCCATGAGAGACCACGTAGTGTGGATGCTGGAGCCTAGCGTGACATCCTGGTTTCACACCACCATGATATTGGACAACCCTCTTTACTTTGGTTTCCTTATCTGTACAGTTTTGAGGAAGATGATAATAGTACCCATCTCTCAAGACTCATAAGGAAACAAACATAATATTGGACGATGCTGTGCCACAGTAAGCACCCAGTAGGAGTTGGCTATTGGCCAACACTGGAGAGACAGTACAGTGCAGTGACTGAGAACACAACTGCAGGTCCACCATGGGTGTCCTTGGGGAGTCATTTAACTTCTTTAACCTCAATTTCTCATCTGCAAGATGGGGATAATAACAGTACCTGTCTCATGGGGTGAGTTGACACATGTAGAGCTTAGAACAGTCCCTGGTACCTAAGAGGTGATTGATAAGCATTAGTTATTATTCTCATCATTATATTCAGTGCCACCACTATGAAAAATAAATTTAGCAATTACTGGTTTAAATGTACATTTCATTATAAGCTGCTGTGTCTGTGAGCATACATTCTTAATTGTAGTGAAGAGTTCTCCTATGTAAAATTTTGATTGCCAAATTACAAATTGGAAGCTATTAATAGATTCAAACGAACTACAGTACCAGCTGGCTTATATTCCTTGTTAATTATTTAACAAATTGTATTTGCATAAACTAAAAAAAAACGATAGTAGCATAAACAGATCCTCATTAGCAAGGATGTAATGTGAAAGGATACAAAATTTAATATTTCATTAAAAACACTTCTTAGATCATCAACTTTGTTTCCTTCCCAAAACAGTGTGTTGGCAAAGCAAGGGGCCACTATGTGAGGAAAGTATATGTCTCCATTACGGACATTATAACTTGAGGGTATTTGACTTTAGCCTCTTCAGATAATAAAATAAAAAATAGAAATTAAATAGAAATTTGTGCTGCTATCATCAAGCAGATAAATGGAAAGAAATGGAAGAAAATATTGTGCCTAATTCATAATGTTTTACTTTGAAAAGTTCATAAAATGTTTAATCAAGCTTTATTCCTGATTTCATATCTTGCCTGTATTGAGAATTCATGCATGTACTTAAACAATTTAATTTACTTAGACAATTTACAGGTAACATTTAGTTAGATAAAGCTTTGTAAAATATCACACTAAAGGTCCTAAATTATAACCACTTCTTCAGAAGCGTTCCTAGAACTTTAGATTAGATCTGTACGTACAGGGCTATGACACATACAATAAAATGCATACACTAAATATTTTACGAAATTGTTTTAAAATTTTGTTGACAGAATTTCAGAAAACTTTCAACAACACTTGTGACTATTTATTTTATTGTAACCAAACTTTGGAAATATAGGTAGAGAAAAATATTGCTCAAGCAGCTTTTACACAAAGAAGGAAGGGAAAGGAGGGGAATCAGAAACTAATTTTATTAATGGAAATGTTCACTGAAAGAATGAAAACCCACACTAAACTATTTGCTTGAGACCGTAGGGACCTTAGAGTTTAGGTGCCTCGAACTTGTCAAAGTTACATACATAACATCAAGTAACCACAATAGATGAATAGAATGCATCTCGGTATAAACATCTTAGCCCTGTTTATACGTGTTACTTGACTGTCTGATAAAATTACACTTGGGGCTGTGCTCTCATGTTAGGCCATTCCAAGCAGCAAACAGATGGAAGGACCACATTCTCCTACCAAGAAAAGACATAAAAAACAGGTGATGTGGTTTATTGTTCTAGGGCATCTCTGTTTACTAATGGTCACTTTAGCCACTCAGCACGTACTAATATTGCAGTTCACAATCTTTTGTAAATCAGTCACCCCATTATGGACTTTCTGTAGTCTTAGCTGCATGGCCATCAGTCTCATTTTGGCACTAAAAATATATTTCACTGCTTTCTGTGTCCTCGATTCTACCACCATCCCATTCTTTCACACTGTCAGCCAAAACCTGTGGTGTTTCATCCATAAAAAGATCATGTTAGGGGTTTTGAAACACAGTACTATTGGCTTTGAAGGATGAGAGTTTTTATTTTATGTTGCTTATGTGTTAGCTACAATGCAATGTTAATATAATAAATCTTTACATAGCTTTGATACACATGGCTAGAAGTAAGATTTAAATTTCCATATGGGGGCTGGCAGGTTAGCTTAATTGGTTAAAGCGCCACCTTGTAACACCAAGGTCAAGGGATCAGATCCCCAAACTGGCCAGCCACCAAAAAAAAAAAAAAAAATTCTATCTGGATAGTAAGAGCAGAATATTAATAATTGTGCTAAGTGTTTTATCTAGAGTTACAATTCCAAGCAAAGTGTAATAAACTTAACTCAAAGTTTATAATTACATCAAGATCATCTCTTTTGAGCTTCCTTAGTTAAAGAAAAATCCATGATAATCTTTGTAACTATGGCCATTTTTCTTTTCCTCCTCCTTTTCCTTCCCCCACCCACCCCCCGAATTTAGGCTGTAAAAACAGAATCTGAGAAGAAGTCACCATCAACTAAGGTAAATGATTTAAGTCTGCTAATGAGCTATTTGGATTCTTTTTAATAACAATGAATAACCAATTTCCCACCTTGGTGCCTCTGAATGGTAAAGGGATTTGCCAGCTAATTAATTTTTGGATTACCCTTTTTAATATGATTGTGTATAGTATATATAAAATACTTATAACATTGCATCCATATATTGTTAAAAAGAATATATAATTAGAGAGGACAACATATTTCAGAAGATATTTTGTTCAAATCTAGATTTTTGTTATAGGTGAATTTTTTTTTTTTTTAAAAAAAAGCAGGAAGAACAAAGGAGAAGTGACAAAAGGTAGCGAGTATTCAATTCCAATTCCGATGAGACGTCAAGAGTAATGGGTCTGAACCCAGCACCTGGTAACTTAAGGATGGGAGTCTTTCCCAAGGCCACTGGGTTTATCTTGACGTTGTAACCTCAGCTGGTGGAGCCAGTTATCAGTTACTCCGGCTTTTCTTAGGAGTGACTTCTCTTGCTTTCCTGCCGCCTGGCTGTCCAGACTGAAAGGCATTCTGCCTCCACACGAAGGTGGACCCCAGGGTGTCTGCGGCAGCACAAATGTTTCTCCTCAGCAAGGTGCTACACTTTATTTTTTCAAGTGCTTAAGCAAATACTCAGAGAAGACCACAAGGCTTCCTGTGGGAAAGTACAGAGGTGCTTTGGGCTGAAGTGGTTGAAGTGCAGGAGGGATGAGGTGAAAGATGAGGCTTACCTGATTTCTGCCTAAGGCGACCTGGTAGCCTCTGAGGCTGGGAGTGGCATGGTGAACTCTAGAGTGAAGAGTTCAGCCGCTAGGGGGAGTTGTCTTCTGTTCCACATGGAATGCCTCATCTAGATAACCAAAATTATCTACCAAATCTCAAGAGAGCTGGGTTTCTGGTGATGTGATCTTCTCTACATGTAACAGACAAAACATTGTAAATCATTAAATTGAAGAAAGTGCAGAGTTCTTCATCTCCTATAAAAGAATGTTTTTTAAAAAGTTAATTTCTAGAGTGGGATCCCCTGTCCATAAACTCAGTGGTCACACCAATCATTTGATGTCTCTGTAGACAGACCTGCAGTTACTAATTCCAGATAGCGTGAATTGTGAAAGAGAGCCAGTAACTTGGAGATACACATATATTTGAAAACTTTTGATATGAAATACTATTTTTTCATTATTCTTATGATAATCGCCATTGTTGGAAACTGTTGGTGGGATTACTAATGGCCAGACAGATAGCATATGTCTACTTCTCTGATCCCAAAGAACTGGGCCTAAGTGAACTTTTCCTGACAGAGGCAGAATGATTTTACTGAGATTTTGTTCTTGAGCCTGTTTGGAAATATGAAAACAGTGGACTCCAGTGTAATTGAGTTTTTAATCTTTTGAAATTGACAGCCATCTGTGGTTCATGAGAAAAAATCCCAAGAAGGAAAGCCAAAAGAACACAAAGAGGTAAATGATTATCACTAGAACATATTATGAAGGTTATGTCTTTTGGGTGAGGTATAATTAAAATATCATTCCAGACTAATCCCAATAATGGATGGCTGGATGTTTGTTTTTTTCAGCTAAAATGGTGCCATCATGTGACAATAACAGTGTTTACAATTTACTCGTGATTCTTGCTGAATTGGGGGGAAGGATTTGTACCATTTCATATTTTGTACCTAAAGTAAAATTTTATCACCTTTATATCATACTAATTCAAATTTACGTTAATCAAAACCACAAACAGCACAACTATTATGAACACTTTTTACTCTATAGAGAAAATTGTCAGTATTATGTTTAAAACTAGCATCTTGTTAATAATGTTTTTGTATGTGTGTGTGCACGTACGTGTGTGCTTTCAGCCAAAAAGCCTACCCAAGCATGCAACAGAGACAGGAAGTAAGCACGCTCATAGTGAAAAAGCAGTTTCCAGGTCAAGTGAGCAGCTGACATCAGAGAAATCAACAGAACCAAAGGTAAAATAAGCAGGTTGATAGATGAGAAAACACTAACATCAACTAGCTAGTAAGATATGGTTCCCCTATTCACACTGAGGTGTGTAGTTGGATCTATGGGGCTATGCTGAATATATTTTGTATTGTAATATTTGGTGCTATTGTTTTATTGGTTTTACAAATAGCCTCAAAGACACTTGGGCTTATGGAGGGCTTGAGAAGAACATTAGATGGGTCTGGAAGAATCTTCTGTCCAGCCTTCTCCCACTGCCTGGCTGTAGGCGGAAGGCTCTGGAGTCTCCTAGACAGGAAACTTTGGATTGAGGCTGCCTCCTAGGGGAATTAAGTCTTAAAGTGTTTTTAGAGTCTTGTCATAGAAGAGATGAACTTAGTGAGCCAAACATTGATTCTACAGATTTGTAGTTAATGGCAGTCAGCTTTTGGAAGAATAAACATCTATGAGAAGAACTTTTTCATTGAGAGTGCTTGTAAAATTATAACAAGGCCTGCTTCAAGATATATTTTATATCAGAGATCACAAATTTGTGACTGACCAGTTAAATGCAGCCACATGTGTATTTTGTTTGGCTTACAGTATTGTTAAAAATTATTTTTAATTAGTTCCCAGCATTTAAAGTCAGGATATTTTATATAAAATCCTAATTTCTAGCTTCTCTTGAAAAATTAGAATTTTTTTTTTTTCTCTGACCGGTAAGGGGATCGCAACCCTTGGCACAGTGTTGTCTGCACCATGCTCAGCCAGTGAGTGCACTGGCCATCCCTCTATAGAATCTGAATCCGCAGCCTCGGCATTACTAGCGTTGCACTCTCCCGAGTGAGCCACAGGGTCAGCCCTTTTTCTAATTATAATATTAGAAGGAGCCATTACACCTGGTGTATGTGCTCCGGTTCACCACAATGCCTACCTAGCCTTACTGACCTGTTTGTACTACCTGCACAGACCCTGTAGGCTCCTGAATGTAGCTTCATGTGGTGCCCAGCATTGCATCTTGTGCAGTAGAAGCTAGTAGACATTCCTCTACCGTGATGTCCATGAGGGCCAACTGGCAGGTGTTGGTGACATTTGAAAGTCATGATCTCAATGATAGTCATACAAAGATACTTAGTGCTGTCAATCTTTATCCTCACTCTTAGACCAAATCACAAGACACGATTTCTGCTGGTGCAAAGAGTGTTGCTGCTGGTGTAGCTGTAACTTCTGGCAAACCAGATGACAAGGTGAGTGCACATAAGGGATATGACCATGGGCCTCTGTGCTTATTGGGTTTCTTTCATAAGAAACATATGCTAAGATAACCTATGGTTTGGCAAAACTACACACTTTTTATATGGGAAATTTTGTGAAGAACACGCATTGAAGGGATATAGAGCGAACAAGATACCAAAAATGATTTCAAAATTCATATATTCAATAAATACTTACTGAGCACCTACCACATGTAAGGCCTGGTCTCAGAACTGAGGAAACTAGAATGTGAGTTAACTCAGACCCTGCCTTCCAGATTTTTAGGTGTGAAATAAAGCAGGTAAAATTTTCATGAGGGTTTGGATAAGCATTACTCCTGGCTATCAGTGTTCATACCAGCTATCTTGATACTAGTCAATCACAAGCAGTCATGATATCAATGTGAATTGATATGGGAGGTTTTCAGAGGAGACACTGCAAGCCTTCTCAGGAGCAGCTATACTCAGATGTGCTGTGCTGGCTAATTATGGGCAAGCCTTCCTGAGGTCCTTTGAAGAGCTACTTCAGATACTAGCCTGGGAATGTCAGATGAAAAGTGGTCTATTCTTTCTACCCAGAGCAATACAACGTTAGTAATTGGTTTAAAGGGTATGTATTCGGTTTGAATCCACAAGTAAACAATTGAAGCAACAATGAGAAGATGGAAATGAAAATGGAAAAAAAGTAGTATATATTTATTTATATTCCTGCTTTTCAAAATGGGAAAAGTATACCTCTATAGCCTAGATGTTGAAGAAAGTCATAGGATAAAATTATGGCACATCTCCTGAAACATCATTTTTTTCTCAGATTTAAGGGGGAAAAGCACATTATTTTCATCTAAGGGCAGAATTTACATAAACTTTTATATTAAAATACCCAACTTAAAATTGTTTTTCTTGCAACAGATCACTCGTATGTTACTTTGAGACTCCACGTCACCCCAGGGATATACTCTCTCTTATGCCGAGGGATGAGGAGTACTTAGAGGAACTGGTTTGAAAATGGAGGATTATATATGTTAGAATAGATTTTTAAATCTATTCAAAATTTGAAATTTTATGATAGATGTAAATTAGCCAGTGTTGTCAGTGAAAGCTAAATAACAACACTAGGAGAAGCTTATGTTGAATTCCAGCATTGACTTGTGCTGGAAGTTGCAGCAACTCATTTCACTTTTCTTTGCCTCTAATTTTTCTCCTATCAAGTAGGATTGATCAGATCTGCCTTCTTATTTTAGTACTTAGCATGTTTAAAACATCATGGTTGACTCTGCAGAACACAGTAGCTGCAGGCTGACCCAGCTAGGGTTTGTGGAGAAAACAATTTACCTGGGAGTGTAATTCAAGGCAGATTTAGAAAGACCATCAAAAGGAGGTGTTTGGTGAGGAACTGAGGGATTCTGTCTGACTCAGGGAATCCACAGGAACTTTGAGAGAGTAGATCCAATCTGAGTTAGGCATGGAAGGAGAGTGAGGATTACAGGATAGCAAACACGTCAGGGTGTTGAAAGGTATGAGATGTGTTCCTGGCACAAAGTGCATTCCAGTGTGGGTGAAATACTGGGGAGGTGAGTGGTGGGGCTGCAAGACCAGAAAGACAAGTTAAGCACTACTGTGGAGAATGCCAAGGTACATTTATATGTGTAGTTGGTAGCCATTGAGAACACCAGAGAACAGATGGGGTGATGTGATTGATTTGAAACCAAGCTGCAGTTGGATTAAGTAGACTTCAGACAGATGAAATGGAATAGAAAGGGAGGGAGGGCAGACAGGAAGGTGGAAGGTTGGTCAGGGGCTGTTTCAGTAGTTCTGGTGAGTCATAGTATAGCTTAAATTACACCTATGATCAAATTAAAAGGTGGGGACTTACGCAAGAGACATTGCAGAGGTAAAATCTTCAGGTTTTAGGAAACAATTGGCCAAAGTGGGCAGAGGCAAAGTAAAATCTGAGATAGGCTGGAACTTCAGAGTCTGGTAAAACTAGGTTGGTGACCCTACAGTAAGGCAAGGAAAGTGGCCAAGGAACAAAATTTAAGGAGGCACTCACTGTTGGGTTTGTGCAAGTGCAGGGTCAGCACCTAAGAGTAAGTGCCTCCTTAAACTATGAGCTGGGTGCCTTGCAGTCCTGATCCTGACTGAGCCCCTGGCTACTTTTGAAAGGTGGACAGAAATCAGAAGGGGAATTGTTTGGAGAGGAAAAGTGTGTGTCTGCTTTTGGACAGGCTGAATTTAAGTGTTTGAAGTGTTCAAAGAAAGATGTGTAGGAAGGCAATTAAAATATTATTTGGGGTACAAAAGAATGGAGGAGGAGGGAGATGAAGAGGGACAGAAGGAGAGAGAAGAAGGGAGGAGGGATAGAGAGATTGAAAGTGGAGGAAGGAAACGGAAGATGAGGAGAGAATATGACTATCTGCACAAGGTGGTGGTTGAATCATGGAGGTGGTATGAGTTGCATAGACTCAGGCTCACACCCTGGTCCCCACAGTATTTTAAGCATTATAATTGCAGCAGTCACTTATTTAGCACTTAGTTATATAGCAAGTACTTATATAGTGCTTAGCAAATGCACAACACTAGTTTTCATACTTCATATGGATTAATTTGTCTAATTCTCACAACCCCCCAGAGGTAGGTACAGTTATCATCTCCTCTTTGCACACAGGGAAACTGAGGTACATACAGAAGGAGAAATGACTTGCCAAGGTCTCAAGCAGCTACACGTGCCGCAACTGCTATGGAAGCCCAGGCAGTGAGGGCCTGTGCCATTTGCCTCTGCTGCCCAAATTCAGATACCTTCAAATGGGATGTGGTCTCTTATTGTCTTAAATCCTACAATTTCACCCATTAAGTTCCTGCCAAGCCCTGAAAGTGTTTGATCCCTGGCCCTAGAGAATGATTCTGGTTTGAGCCTGTCAGCACAGGGCAGAAACATGCAGAATGTGTGCAGTTGGGGCCAAGTGGAAGAAATGCCAGAGGTGACAGACCAAAGGACACAAACACCAGAGAAGAACTGGCATAGTGCTGGGTGGTGGCAGCTGGGAGAGATGAGTTGGGAAAGGGATGATTCCCGGGGTCAAACTTCAGAGAAGATTACATTGGAATAAAGGCATGGAAATTACAAATTGGAAAGTTATTGTCAATCTTCAATAAAGCAACTGAAGCAGTGGTGAGAGCAAAACTCATTTTAGGGAAATAAGGAAAGAGCGAGTGTTGAGAAGCTAAAGCATGGGACATGGAGGCCTTCGCGTGTAGAGGCAAAGACTCAGAGCGCAACAGCTGGTAGTGGCAGCCTAAAGAAGGAATTCATGGGTATCGAGAAGACTGGTTATGGGCCCCAGAGAAGAACAGTGAAGAAAGAAATAGACAGTCCTGGATTCAACTCTTGGTTCTGTCCCTTACTGTATAACATGAGGGAAGTTACTTAACCTCTCAGAGCCTTGCTTTCCCCATCACTAAATGATATTATTATTTAAGCTGTTCTGAAAAAGGATTTAAAACATATGGCATAGTGTCTGGTACAGAGCAGATGTTCAGTATATGAATTCATTTAGTATATTAGTATTATGAATATTATTAATATTATGAATTCATTTTAAAATATGTAATAGTATTGAGCTTTATAAAGGTATGTGAGAAGGAGTTTTTATTTCTTTCTAAACTCTCACCAGAAAAAAGAAAAGAAATCATCAGCACCAGCTGTACCAGTTGAATCCAAACCAGACAAACCATCTGGAAAGGTATGAAGGTAGCAGTGCACTTCCACATAAGATACTCATTCATGTGCTAGTTCTGTCTTTATCATAATCTGATTTCTTGTGCGTAGACAATATGAGGGGGATAACTTAAAGGATCGTTTTAATGAATTAGTGTTTCAAACTAATATGACTGGGTTGAAAGTATGGTTTTCATATATGTTTATAACATTTTATGTTATAACCCCATGTTTTGAAAACTTCAGTTTCATTCTATGGAGTTTACATGCCAGTTTGTCTCCTGCAAATGGACCTTTTTTAACCAGAGGTATCACTAAAGAATGTCAGGTACTTTATTCTGAAATTCCCAAAAGAATCAGTCTGATGCTAACAGGCCCCAAATTCTATTACATAGATCTGTGATCCGGTGAGTCCTGAAATTGTTGGTTTATATGGTAGTTGCAAAAAACCAAATATTTTAAACAGTTCTTTTGAATCTGAGTTAAATAGTAAAGGGTCTTTCCCTAGATTGATGTGTTCCCCTTTAGAGGAAGGTTATTGTTCACAGTGAGTCATTCTTAACCTTAAAAATAGGATGGAGGCGCTCTTTCATTTCTTATACTGATTTGAGCCCATATCGACAGAATGAACTGTCAGTTCCTGTAAGTTTAACATATTTTTCAGGTAATTTCTGTTTTGTGAACTTCTTCAGGCAAGCAAGTGAACAAAAGAACACGAATGAAAGAATATAGGCAAATCCAATTTTGAAATAGATTCTGTTTGGAAGAGGTGCTACATAGAGATTTTGTTGGGGTTCTTTGTATAAAATTCTGGAAAACTATTGATAAGCAATAAATACCAAGCATTTCTCCTACTGCTTAAAGCGGCATAGTCATAATTCTTTGTATTTTGTTGTTTTATTTCTTTTTTCCTTTAAACTGTCAGTATATTGAACTAGCAGCCTTAATGAAGTCATACATTTGTTTATGTAGTTAATGCCTTTAGATTTGTTGAAATAGTATTCTTACTTGAGTAGGGCTTTTTATCTTTCCAACCCAGAATCTATACTCTGGGACTTTAGACTTTAAGGTCTACCAGAGACCAATTTTAATTATTTTGATAGTTGAAGAACTTTTGGGCTTTGGTGTTTCTTCTATGCAGAATGCTTTTTTTGTAGTTAAAAAATCAAAAGTGAAATATGTATAGCAAGTAACATTGAAATATCTGCTCTTTCTTTTCCAGTCAGACATGGAAGCTGCTTTGGATGACTTAGTAGACACTTTAGGAGAACCTGAAGAAACTACAGTAGATAATGCCACATATACTGGACCAGAAGTTTCAGTATGTAATCTTGATATCTGTAAAAATTTATACTCATTGGGTGGCAGAGCATGGTCATGAAGCTCAAGAGAACACCTAGTGTTTGTTCTGTCACTTGGGTAGAAACAGAATGATGTCAGCATCAGCAACAGCAAATAAAAATTACTGTTGGGGATGAAAGTGGTTTGTCCTTTGGTAGCTATATAATTACATTGATTCAGCAAACATTTATTGATTGTTTGTGCTAAGACTGGCACTGGGATACAACCTGTTGGGTCACAAAGACTTATTTTCTGGCCTCAAGGTTAAAGTCCAGTGGACTTGAACTCATTTTGATGTCCAGGTATTTTCCATCCTATGATTTGAACATATTTTGATTCCTAGATATTTACTACCCTCAGTTTATCCCCATTACTCCTAAAAAGGAAGAAAATTTTATGTTTCTTGGTTAAAAAAACAAAAAGATAAACCATGGACTAGATGAAAATATTTGCAACAGATGTAAAATGATTTGTTTCTAGAATTTATAAAAAATATATAGAAAAAGACAATCTAGTAGAAAATTAGGTGAAAACTTGACTGGCTAATTAACAAGTAAAATGAAACTCTCCTAGTAATTAAACAAATGATATTAAAACATGGAGCGATATCATTTTGCACTTTGACTGACAAAAGCATGAAAGTCTCACAACTTGCCTATACTTGGTGGGTGTTGAAGATGAGCTTCGTCGTCAACCAGGAAGTCAGCCTGTAGAGAGATTCCCAGGAGGGAGCCTTGCCCATGTGTACAAGGAGTTATAAGAACTGGTGAAACATTTGAAAACAATTTTGTTCAGTAGAGGACAGGATAATATAATGCAATGCTTTATAATGGTTAAAATGGATCATTCATATATCAACATGGATACATTACAAAAAACATTATTTTTAATAAAAATGCAGAATTACATATAGAATACTATACCATCTGTATAACATTTGAAAATATGCAAAGTAATGTTGTACCTTATTTATACTACTTACATCTGTAATAATTGTTTCAGATATGCTCATCTTTAAGTGGGTGAATATGATAAACTTCAGGATGGTGGCTATCTCTGGGTAACAAAGAAGGGGAATTGGACTGGAGAGGACTAAACAGGAGAAACCCACTTTATCTGTGATTTTGCTCTCTTAGAAATTACATAATCAATAACTGTAGATCTGATAGAACTGGATGTTAGGTTATGTAGAAGTTCATTATGTTATTAACTGTACTTTTGTATGTACTGGAAATGTTAGATAATGAAAACATTTGAAAACAAAATTTATTTTTAATATAGGAATCAACTTTAATATTTTGAATATTTTCTAACATTACATATGAGTTAAACCAATTAAATATGGGTAATTATTTGTGTAAACTCAGAACTCCAGAGATGTGTAAAGTGTTAGCTTTTTAATGACTTATATTTCGTTGCAATAGTTCTATAAATTAATAATAAAATAGTACTTTGGTTTCAGGATATGCATATAACATTCTCAGCTGATTAATTACATTATATCCTTATCTGTGTGATTTTTGTTCTAGGATCCAATGTTTTCTACCTACATAGAGGAACTGGGTAAAAGAGAAGTCACAATTCCTCCAAAATATAGGGAACTTCTAGCTGTAAGTTAATGGCACTTTTACTTCACTATTTCCTTTGTAATATAATTTTATATCAATATCGTCCCAATTTTTAAAATATAGAAAATATCATGGGGCATATGAAATTGTCATCACTACGAAGCTTACTGTATCAGTTTGCTAGGGCTGCAAGAAAGACCCCAGACTGGGTGGCTTAAACAACAGAAACGTATTGTCTCACAGTTCAGGCTAGAGGTGCAGAATCAGGTGTCAGCAGGGTTGGCTCCTTCTTGGGGTGTGAGGGGAGGAGCTCTCCTCCAGGCCTCTCTGCTTGGCTGTAGATGCCGTCTTCTGCCTGTGTCTCCTCACATCATCTTCCCTCCGTGTATCCCTGGGTCCAAGTTTCCCCTTTTTATTAGGGCAGCAGTCATAATGGTTTAGGACCCACCTTAACACTTCATCTTTATTTGATTACTTCTATCAAGACTGTATCTCCAAATAAGGTCTCATTCTAAGGTACTAGGACTTCATATGAATTTGGGGAGAACACAGTTCAACCCATAACACACATTGAGCAACACATTTTGCCAGTCATAAGTATGAATCTTGCCTTCTCAACATCATCAAATCAATGTTTGTTTCAGAAAAAAGAAGGGATCACGGGACCTCCTCCAGACTCTTCGGTGAGTTCACAAAAATGTCTTCTAAGATCTAAATTAACATTCTTTATATCTTCAGTTGGGGGAATAGGGCTATCAATTCTGTATTTGGAGATTATAACTAAATTCATCTCCAAATCAGAGTGTGTTTCTGTCTGTTCAGAAAAAGGGGGTGGGTGCTGGGGTTGTCTCAGTGTTCCTTAGTCTCGTGTAGTTTTTTGGAGGGGAAGGAGAATGGAGCCAAGAAAGTATTAGAATAAATTAAATGTTAATAGCAATAGAGTGAGAATATCTTACCATGTAAAACCTTTAGAGGAGGAGGGAGAGGAAAACAATACTTATGGAGTATCCATGACCTTCTGAACATAGACTTTGATCTGAGTTATTTCATTAACATATCTCATTTGGTAGCTAAAGACTTGCAAAAGTGCATTCTTTCTTTGCTGGGTTTCTAATTCATTCTTTCACTTTCTTTAGACACCCATGGGGCCCGACGATGCTATAGACAGCTTGTCATCTGACTTTACCTGTAGTTCCCCTACTGCTGGTGGAAAGAAAACTGAGAAAGAGGTATTGTTTTCAGTATTAAGAACTTGTTAGAAATGATCTCAAACTTTAAAAGAATGACAATTAGATTTCCCTCATCCGTAAATCTAAACTTTTGTACTTTATTTTTCAGAAATCTACAGGAGAGGTTTTAAAAGCTCAGTCGGCTGGGGTAATAAGAAGTGCTGCTCCACCCCAGGAGAAGAAAAGAAAGGTGGAAGAGGTATAATTACTTTGAAAATAATCACAGTCCACCTAACAGAAGCTGCTTTCATGAATCTGATCTAGTTTATTCGGGATAATCCCAATACTGTAGGGTATTATTACCCATGATGAGGGGCTGTGACCTTTCTCCCTCAAGTCTGAGCAGAATAGTGAATTGTATCGATCTGATCATCTCCAGGCAAGCCATGTGTGTTTCCATAAATGCTTATGAATGATTTTAGCACAGTCTTCTTGGTCATGATCCAAGATCATCTCACCATTACATGGAAGGGCAGAAACTAGAGAAATTGCATTTTTGGAACATAAAGTCTTCAAGTTTGATTTCCCAAAGGAGTTTAAGCCCTTGTGGATCACTAGAGAGATGCTGTTGAAGCTCCTTCTGTCCATCTCTCTTAACCACAACCAACTATAATTTAATTCTCACAAATCCTGAAGGGCCATCCTGCAGCTCTGGGCTGGATGAGAAAGTGTGTCTCATGTGCAAACAGTCAAGAAAATACGAAGGAGCAGTTTCTATCAGAGACGCATCTGCCTCTCCCCTCCTGGAATGGACAGTTTATTTTTATCTGGCTGGCTGGGGGAACGGTGGTGAGCACCACACCCCTGAGAGTGGGAGTTGCTGCAAGATCAGCCATTGTGCCTTCAGAGAAGGCGGCAGCGGGGGCCACTTCAAGCTTCCTTGCTTCCTGAGCTTAGCTGCTTTGCTAAAGGACAGGATTGTCAGAAGCCATTTTTAGGGACACATTTTTAGAAAAAGAAAAGCAGGGTCGTGAAAGTTCACTACTTTTACAGCTTTTATTTTCGTAAAAGAGTACTTTATAAGTTTTACTTCTAGCTTACTAGATAAGGGGTGAAGTGTGCCCCAGAGAGCGCTGTTACTGTAGAAACGTGTTTTAGCCCCAACTTTCACTCATTGGTAAGTTCTTTTTTCTTTCTCTCTTTTGCCGGGTTTCAGATAAAATTGCCTTTCTAGAGTATTTTCCCAGTCCACAATTCATGTCATATATTTAAAATGTGTGTTTCACAAAGAAGTAAATGGACTGTTCAGGTTCAGGAGATGTTGTCTTTTTTCATGTACAGAATTTTTCATTTTTAACAGGATACGATGAGCGATCAAGCACTCGAGGCTCTGTCAGCCTCACTGGGCACCCGGAAACCAGAACCTGAGCTTGACCTCAGCTCTGTTAAGGAAGTCGATGAGGTACTGACCTTGGAGTCGATATACAAAGCATGTTAGTGTGCAGATTATGAAAGTGAATGCATTGCATGTGTTTAGAATTCTTGCACAGCTTTTATTTTATGGGAGATTAAAATTGAACTACTCTTTATTCTGTCTTACTTTCAGAGTCTGGTTAATTTAGATATTTATTGCTGGGTAGTTAGCAATCAAGAGGGATTGTGTTTTGTTTTGACATATGTGTTTTGTATAACATCTAGAATTTTTAGTATTTAAAATGATCACTAGTCTCCTTTGCCAAAGCTTAAATGACACCTGAGTGAACAAGGTAACAAGGAACAGTGGCCTGGGTGAGAAATAGTGACGTTTCTCTGCTGTCATGGAAATTGAAAACTTTTATTTTCAGAAGGATTCTGGGCACTTCTCTATAAGGAGCAAGGGAGATGGCCATGTAAAGGCTGGGAAGATTCTTCTTTTATAACTGTGGGGAAAGATGTTGAGAAATTTGTCTCAAATGGGAATAAAATCAAGCAACAGTTACTCTGGAGCTGGAGCTCCTGTGTATTCAGAGCACGATACTGGTGAGGGTGTATTCTGCCACACTCCAAGATCTTTTTTTTTTTTTTTTTTCCTTTTTTGTCTTTTTTACTGACCGGTAACGGGATCGCAACCCTCAGTGTCACGCCCGTACTGGACCGGTCTCTATATGGGATCCAAACCCTCAGCAGGAGCGCCACCACACTCCCAAGCGCCGCACTCTACCGAGTGCGCCACTGGGCTGGCCCCACACTCCAAGATCTTAACAAGCCTTCTAAGCCAAAGCAAGCTTGTGTCTGGTGTACGAGAGTTTTAATATTGTTACAGTTTTTGTAGAATTTTTCAACTTGGTCCTCTGAGGGAAAAAAAGAAGGAAAGGAGAGAGCCACCCATTCCTGACAAGGCGGTGTCATGGGGGGAGATGGAAACAGCCTGGGGTCCTCAGGAGCCCCATCCTATCAGCTCAGGGAAGAGAATCTGGCAGTTGTCACTGTCACAATGCCCCTGCCTCTGCTGTCATTTCCTGTTCTGAGTCCTAGTCGGGGAGGGGGAGTCTCCCAGATTCCCAGCAACTCTCCCAAGTCTGGGACCGCCCTGGTCCAAGATGGGCCAATTTCTATCTTCGATCTTCTTGGAGAGTTTACCAGCCACAGTATGGCACAATGAGCTTTGTGATGGTGACCACAAGGGAGCAGGAGAAACAGTCCCTGGCCTCCAGGACCAAGTAATGTACTGGGAAGAAAGGAAATTTTGCAGCACAGTGTGCGATGTGCATTACCTTGAGTAGCCACATAGAAACAATGTCATCTCAAGGATGGGATGGTCTTGGCAGAGCCCTGGGGGAGTCAGGAAACCAAGTTAAGCAGTGATTCTACTACCTGAGGGCTGCATGGTCATTAGGAAATTGCACTTTTGCCTCAGGCTTTTTACAGATAATTAGGGGGATTTAGTAAGACAACAAATATGGAGAGGGAAGATATAAACATGATATAAATTCCAGGACAAATAGAGTCTTTTAGTGACTAAAATCAGAGAAGTAGATAGAAAAAAGAGACATGAAAATAACTTAGAAAACTTGTGGGTAAGCAGTTTGGGGATGCATATGAATGTATTAAATTTTGTCTAGAAAACCTCAGAAAAGTAGTAAACTAATTCCAGCAAAAAAACACTCTTCTTTTCCACTCTTAATACATACTAGTTGTCCTTTTCAATCATGTACAAAGTATAAAAATTTCCTAAGAAGATCTTTCAATCCTCTAGATTCTTTAGCTGAATTCGTAGTACCCAGTGGTGAATTCTTTACATCTTGGATAATCTGATGTTGTGGTAAGGCTCATAAACTTCGCTGCCATCCGAGCACATTCCACACTAGAGAGCTCTCTGTGGACAACTACGTAATACTCCAGAGAAGAGGTCCATGCCTACTTGGTATTCTTGTAATGTATTGTAACATAAAATTTATTCCATAATGTTACCTCATTATAAATTTCCCCCATTTTTAGGTGTGGTTACCTAGTCCAGTGCTATTTCAATTCAGTATACATTTTTTTTCAATGCCTACTCTATACAAGCCACAGTGTAGGCATTTCAAGAATATAAAGATCAAAGAAGAAACTAACTCTGTCCACCACCTGAGTGTAGTGGAGAGAACAGTCTTCCATAGGTGACCCTTGCCAGTCATGAAGGCTGCAATAGCCAAAGACCTCACAAATGCCTGAGTTGGGGAGTACCACTACATAATAGGACTTCCACCATATGCTGCAGTAGAATATAACTGGAAATATCTTTTAAAAAACCAAAAACCTTTCATCCCTTATTGAGAATTATTCTATAGAACAATAAAACTGTAATTCCAAAGCCTAGAACAGTGTCTGGCTCATGAAAATTGCTCAATAAATATTTTTTTAATTAATCCACTAACTAATCGATCAGTGGAAAACCACATTCTTAGGCTGAGATGTAGATGGGAGCAGTGGATCAAGTTAAAATTTGCTAAGTGAACCCTACCTTGGTTTGTGTATTAAATCCATGCCTTGATGTAAGTACAAAGCATTATATCTCATGAAACTTCATACCAGTAGATTATAATTGCAAATGTTATATCCTAGAAGTCAACAATCTACTACAGAAATATACTTTTATTTCTAAGGCAGTTGGTTGCTGGTGGTTCAGTAATCCAGTGAAGTCCCGGTGTTTTATTGAAGCAAGTCCTTTTAAAAGAAGTAAACCCATTATCCATGGACTAGCTCAGATTTGTGATAGGATGCTTCTCCCATTTCTGAATTGGGTTTAACATGACAATTGGTTGTGTTTCCCTCTCTCACCTCGTTGAGTAAGACAGATGAAGGCTATTAAAATAATTGCAGCTAAATTCTGTCCTGCGCTTACTGTCTTCAAAGGGCCTTTTATTTACTTTTCTCTGTTATGCTTACAACTCAGTGAGCTGGGTAAGGATTATTAGTAGCCACACTTAGCAGCTGAGGAAAGCAGCCCAAAGAAAAGCTAAGTGATTTCCCAAGGACATAGTGCCTGAGAGCAGAGCAAGTCACCTCCCCAGGATCCTATCTCAGTTGCCAATGCTGTCTTTCTCATAGCTGCTCATCATGGTCTTCTGCTCTGTAGTTTACAAAACTCTCCAGACACTTGTATCTGATTTGGTCTTCTGTGCAACACTCGTGAAATACACAAGGCAACTGATAACATCTCGATTTACATGCATTATCCAACTGCTTTTTTTCTCTCCACTTTCACCAGGCAAAAGCTAAAGAATTAAAACTAGAGAAGTGCGGTGAGGATGATGAAACAGTCCCGGCTGAGTACAGACTGAAACCAGCCACGGTGAGTTTGTAGCTGTAGTGTACACAGTACACTCATCCTGCCTTCCCTTCGTTTTGTTGTTTCCATACCCTTGACACTAAGGACATGCCTGTTCCAGTTCAGATAGTAACTCTGAGAACCCCAAACCTTTCTCTGCTCTCCACAGTTAGACCCCTTGAGGGATGGTTTGTCCCTGCGTGGCTTCTTAAGTAATGAGCATGTAGTCATTAAAATTTCCAGAAATTCAAGTGTTTCAACTATTAACAATGTTTGACATTGATCTTAAAGCTGAAGGAACAACTTGGGTGTAATTTTTCTCTAATTGCTATTTGCATAAAAGCACCATCGATCTTATAAGTGGTAGATATAAATGTACTCCTATTTACCAGTATCCTCAGTTAAGGTGGTTTTGTTGTTTTTGATTTATGGTGAGGATGGTGAACTAACTCCTGTAATTACATTTATAATTTATCTTTGAAATCAAACATATGATCACATGATGGAAAGCAGTTGTGATTTTTATATAAGCTTATATATGAAAAAAGTTTCTAATTTTTAGAAATATTCTAAATTGTGAAACCTCATCCAAAAAACTAAATGGGATTATCAGAATGATATCTACTTCTTCACCTTGGGTTGCAGAAATGAGACATTTAAAAAATCTTTCACTAACATAGTTTCACCTTTCTTGCCAAAGAACATTTTTTTTTTTAATTCTATTTCTCTGTTCAATGAATGGAACACAAAAAATTTTTAGTAACTTTAAGGAAAAAGTAAATGTGAATCATATTTGTTAACATTTGATCTCTTGGTTTTTGAGGCTCAACTCCCTGTTCTGATATTTTATAAAAAGTAAATCTGAAACACCAATTTACTCAAATATAAGAAAAAATAAACTTCCTTTCATATCCTGGAGTTCCTAAAAATAAACTTAATGGGGCATGACAGCTCCATTTTTCTACTTCATTTCCAATGAATTTTCAATTTCATTTACAGGATAAAGATGGAAAACCACTATTGCCGGAGCCTGAAGAAAAGTCCAAGGTTAAGAAATAAGTTTCTAATGTACTTAAAAAACAATAGAAATATAAAGTATAAATTAAGATTATTTTGACAGATTTCACTGTTGGGGACTTGCATACTGACCTAGTATTGGGGAGGGAGAACTTCTGATGGTAACACTTGGCTAATATCTCTGACTTCTTTTCATATATTTTAATGATTATGTTCCTCATGAATTATTATTAGTGTATTAAGTTTCTAGGTGATGTTCATTGAATATTAGGAGCTGATGTCAAGAGGGCCCTTGAATTAGCACTTAGAGTTTGTTCCTAGTCACAGCATAAAATACTCTCATCAGAGTTACCTGTCCTGATAATACTAATCAGCAATGTTTATTAACTACTTACTGATAATTTCCATTTTACAGGGAAGAAACTGAGACATGGAAGGATTATGTAAATTGACCCCAAATCTCTTTAGAAGAAAGCAGGCAGGATGTAGAACTCAGGCTGTCCACTCTGGGGCCCAGTTTCTGAATCACACATCCTCCTATCATGGGTCAGGCAAAATTTCTACAAGCCTTCAAATAATACCACCTCCTCTGAAAGAATTAGCGATAGCAGAACTTTCCCACCCAAAACCCACAGTCATAGGAGAGGAGTATATGGTCTGTGTTTTCTCAGATTTATTTAGAAGTCATTAGGAAGTAGGAAAATGATAATCATATAAAAAATACTATACAGATCTTCATTGGAGAGAACAAGTAGTTTTAATCGAACAAAATCCTTCTGAAATTGACGTATTAGGAAAACTTGAGTAAGTCAGTCATTAACGCTTTTGTGGTCCTGAGGTGTTTAGTATTTATTTCTTGCATGTCATTTTTATCTCACATTGATAAATGAAAAATATGCCCTATGTAAACTAACTTTTGGTTTTAGATCCTAAAGTATGGTCTAATATGTGTTGAGCAGGAAAAAAATGTGCTCTATGAAAACTTTTTTTTTAAACAAAGTGAATATAGTTACTTCATAATATATAATGTTTCTCACATTACAGCCCCTGAGTGAATCAGAACTCATTGATGAACTTGCAGAAGATTTTGACCCGTCTGAATGTAAAGAAAAACAATCTAAGCCAACTAAAAAAACAGAAGTATGTATGTAAAAATATGTCTCTAGTTTTCAAGGTTTTTTAAAAAAATGTATTTGTGTAATCTTTAAAAATGTGAGACTGAAACTATTTTAGTATGAAGTGGCTGATTTAAAAAAAGCCCATTATACCATCTTTTTTTTTTTTTTTTTTTACATCTTTCATTTTGTCTTTTTCTAAATGTGTTTTCTTTTCCCGAGCTAATGTTGTTATTCTTATGGTTTAAGTCGTGTAATTATTCCTTCAGGAAGGCTCTCAAACCCATGCTTTACTTTCTATTCCTTCTTCCATAACTGACCCGGTTAAAGCTGCCAGCACCTGTCACTCAGGATTGCAGTGGCCCTTCTTCAGTCTCCTTCCCTCCCATCTCTTGTATCCACCAGAGGCATTCTTTCTCAAGTGTGTTTGCAGTTGCATCATTCACCTGCTCCAACCCCCAGGAGAGTCTCATTCCCTACAAAAGAAAAGCTTCTGCTAACATGTTCTGGCCCCAGCTTCCTTTCCTACCGAGCTGCGTCCCTGCATCACTGAACTGCACAATAAGTCTCCATGGCTTTTCTTACCTAGTTCCTTCTGTCCGCACTAACCTTTCCTCCTAATTCTATATCAACTGAAGTCTTACTCATCTTTTTAAGGCTCTGCTACAATATGGCTGCCTTTATCGCTTGCTTTTTCTTCCCTAAACCATATCACCCTTCTAATCTTTATTAAGCAGAATATGCCATGGAAGGGGCTCTGTTGTTCTCTCTTTGTATATCCTTATCAAAGCATTTTTTTTTTTGTCTTTTTTTTTTTTTCGTGTCCGGCAATGGATCGCAACCCTCAATGTCGCGCCCGTACCGGACCGGGACCGGCAACGGGATCGCAACCCTCAGTGCTGCGCCCGCACCTCGCTCAGCCAGTGAGCGGGAACCGGTCTGTATGTGGGATCCAAACCCTCGGCGGGAGCGCCGCCACACTCCCAAGCGGCGCACTGTAGCAGTGTGCCACCGGGCCGGCCCCATTATCAAAGCATTTTTACAAATAAGTTTTTAGCTTTGTTGGTCCTTTAACTCTAACATTTATACATAGTTTAAATAAGTAGGAAGTAAGTTCCTTGAAAGAAGAGATCATACCCTAATGTTAATGATCATCTGATGAGCACCTTGAATATACAATTACATACAATTCTGTATTAAAAACAATTTATTTGAAATTTTATTCTTGTGATAAGATAGTACAGTGGTTCTCAAACTTCAGCGTGCCTCAGGACCATCTGAAGGGTTTGTGAAGACACAGATCGCTAGGCTCCACCCCCAGAATTTCTGATTTAGTACATGGTGGTGGGGGCCCAAGAATCTGCATTTCTTAGAAGCTCCCTGGTAGTGCTGAGGCTGTTAGTCCAGGGACCACACTTTGAGAACCCCTGGTACAGTGTTACTACCTTGTATTTGTGCGTAGCTATTTATAATTTACAGTGTGCTCAAAGATTCATATAAATACATAATTTATATAGTATTATATAATAGGTATGTTTTATTGTTTAATATGATGACAAATAATACAAATAATCGCAATCATTGCTCAAATTCATTGAGCTTACTGTCTTCCACGCAATATCTCATTTAAGCCCCACAGCAACCTTTGAGATGTAGATAGTATGATTGTTCTCACTTTACAGATGTGGAAACTGAGTCTGGAGTTTAAGTAGTCTACCTAAGGTGAGAGGTAAAACCAGGATGAAATGGGCCGGCCCGGTGGCGCACTGTTACAAGTGCGCCGCTTGGGAGCGCGGTGGCGCTCCCGCCGAGGGTTCGGATCCCACATACAGACCGGTTCCCGCTCACA